GGGCTTGATTGACTTGAAACGATGTAGGCTTGTACTTGATTCTTGATGGAGGATATATATTAATCTCCATTTTATGAATAAATGAATTGGTAAGTTGAAGATCATGCTCATTTTTTATTTATCTTTTGCCCGGATCCCTTTGGAGGCTTGAAACCCTAATTAGTAGTCAAATGAAACAAACAACAATCTTTGTATTTCCAAATGGATTAGTGATGCATAAAAGATATATACATATATGAGGCTGATGAAATGCAAATGATGTGGGATCTTAGGATAAAAAATTATGGTATGACACAACCCTCCTCACCAACCTCTTCCTCCACACCTATATTTCATTCTCCTTCAACTCCCGACAAACAACAAAACTCGAATACTACATTAGCGCCCACACCTTTTCCTTCACCAATATTACCATAATTCTTACCTCAAATGACTACCCAAACCCAACATGTTATAGTCAAATCTTTCAAGATTTTTAACTTACATATTTCATCTTAAAATTCCATATCCCCCTTACCTACAAACCCTATAGATGCATTACATGACCATAATTGGAAAATGGCTATGAAAGACGAATATGATGATCTTATTGAAAATAAGATGTGTTACTTAGTTCCTTCTCCATCTAATGCTAATATTATTAAAAATATATGGATTTTTGGGTATAAAAAGAATTAAGATAGACCATTTGAGCAATACAAAGCTCGCTTTTTAGGTAATGGAGCGAACCAACAAACAAACGTTAATTACAATGAAACCTTCAGGCCTGTAGTCAAACTAGCTATTATTCGCACAATACTCAGTGTTACCTTAACAAAATCATGGTGTCTTCATTAATTAGATGTTAAAAATATCTTCTTGAACGTCAATCTTGATGAAACCATGTACATGCACTGAACTCTAGGATTTTGTCATCCTCAATTCCTGGACTATGTGTGCTTGTTCAAAAAGTCTCTCTATTGACTTAAACAAGCACCATGCACCTCATATTGGTGATTCACTAATTATGTCTCTACAACAGAATTCTCTCATATCAGTTCTAATTAGTCATTGTTTATTTATCCTAATGGGAATGATATGAATTACATTCTTCTCTATGTAGATGACATTATCCTCACCGCTTTATCTGAGTCTCTTCGTGAGTAAATTATGTCCAAGTTGAGTTCTGAATTTTCAAGAAGGACCTAGGTCCTCTGAGTTATTTTCTAAGAATCTCTATTACGAAAATTCAGGATGTATTTTTCTCTCTCATAAAAAATATGCATAAGAGATTATTGAACATGCAGGAATGTCCTCATGCAAGCCATCCCTGACATTGATGGATACCAAATCAAAACTCAGTGGGTCCTCAAGTAATCCCTATCATGATCCAACATAATATCAAAGTCTTGCAGGTGCATTACAATACTTGACATTTACAAGACCAAATATATCATATGCAGTTCAGCAAGTGTGCCTCTTTATGCATGATAAAAAAAAAAGCATATGTCTGCCTTAAAATGGATCATTCGTTATATTCATGGTACTGTTGAATTTGACCTCTAGTCATATTCTTCCTCCGTCGACAAGCTCGTATCTTATACAGACGTTGATTAGGATGGTTGTCCAAATAAAAGAAGGTCTACCTCTTGGCATTGTATTTATCTTGGTAAAAATTTGTTGTCTTGGTTCGCAAAATGTCAACATACCTTGTCTCGATTGAGTAAAAGCCAAATACCGATGAATGGCTAATGCGGTGTCTGAATCGTTTTGGATTCTTAATATACTTCTAGAACTAAATCGCCCTGTTATAGAAGCAACTTTAGTCTATTGTGACGATGTCAGCGTCGTGTACCTTTCCGTCAATCCAATTTAATATCAACGCACCAAACACATTGAAATGGACATACACTTCGTGCGAGAAATAAATGCTCGAAATCAAGTCTGTGTATTAAATATTCCCTATCGTTATCAAACTGTCGATATATTCACAAAGGGTTTTCCACTAAAACTTTTTGACATCTTTAGGAATAGTCTTAACATTCGTCCACCTTCAGTTTTAACTAACATGGGTGTATTAGACTATGTAAATATAGAAAGAATATAGTTAGAGTTTATTGTAAATAATTATTGAATATTTGTTTAGGATTATTATGGATACATTCGATGTATATATATGTGATACCCATAACAATGAAAAAGGGTCGACCAATATTCATTCGTCTATTAGTCCATACTAGGCATTCTTTCATTGTGGACACTTCGAAAAAAAAATGTACTTGTAATTTATAGGAATTTGTAGGAATCCCTTGTAGACATGCAATATTTGTGTTAGGGTTTAGGAACCAATTCCATGAAGATTTTGTGGATGATTATTACTCCAATGAGGCTTTTATGGCATGCTATATGATAATGTAAGTCCTATTAATGGACAAGACATGTGGCCAGAGGCTGACATTGAAGCGATGTTACCTCGAACATACAAACGAGGACATGGAAGGCCGACAGAATTAAGGAGGAGGGAACTTGATGAAGACCCGAATAAAGGAAGGACACAAACAAGTTAATGTTGCACAAAATGTTGTATACATGGCCATAATGCAAGAAGTTGTACTAGTCTTGCGGTTGACTCTGAAGCTAAAAAATTAAAGGTATTTAATTATGGCCATACTTCAAATCATTAATTATTGTTATTGATTTCATATTAATTTTCTGAGTTTTGTGTGTAGAGAAAAGCAAAGAAAATTGCAACTGGAGAACCATCTGGTAATTCAACCTAAGAACAACTTGAACCTAATGAAATATGGAGCTGCAACCCAAGAACAACCTCAACCTAGTAAATATGAAGCTACAACCCAGGAACAACCTTAATCTATTGAATCTCAAACTGATATTGATCACGTGTTTGAAATGCTTGCTGTAAATCTTGCAACAGCATCTGAGGCAACACAACCTCAACTAACTGTGAATGATGTTACATCTCAAATTGCTCAAACTGCACCAGTTCCAACTTATCATATTGAAAATGTTCCAACTGATCAAACTGCACAGGTTCATACCACTACATATGACTAAGGTATAACTCTTTATGCACCTGATTATATTTTTTCAGCACCTGTTCCACATGATGTGCACATAATGTACATGATGTAACTGTTTCTGCAACTCCTACAACTTTTAAACTAAGTGAGTTTCTTAAACTAGTTGAGCTCTTGCAGTTATCATATGAAAGTGTTCCCTTGATATTCTTATGTTTGTGTTATGCAGAAAAAGAAAACCAAATCAAAAGTTGTAAGGAAATTGGAGTTGATGAGAAGTGATAGAACAAAGGTCTTTAAATATAAAAATCTCAAGGGAGAAGGAAGTGATCCAAGATGACCTTTGGATTTGTAGACATTAAACTTCTCATTGAATTTTCATTATGATTTAGTTATGATGTATTTTTGAGACTTTATTATGCCTTTTGGATTTGTAGAAATGAACCATCCTATTGATTTAGTTATGATGTGTTTTTGTTGTATTTTGAGACATAACACAAAGTTTTATCTTGAGACAAGTTCGTATGCATTTTAGGATATATGTATTATAGTTGTGTAATACATTATCAGTTTGTGCAAATCTTGATTTTAGTTCATTAAGACACATGGATGAAAAACAAATAAAAATCACAAACTTAGAGGGATGAAAGTCATAAATTGTCCTTGTTAGGTGGACAAAAATAAAAAAGTTACATGAATCATTAAAATGGCATTCAACACCGTTTCTGTTAAGCAATGAACAAACTCCATGAAAGAATAAAAAAAAACTGAAATAAGTTGACTTTTTTTCTTTCGGTTTCAAACTTCATCTTCATATTATCTTTTTTCCTAGACTCAAACTCTTTAAAAATACAAAATAAATCATTCACAATCTCTGAGCAATTGCAATTGCTTAAATTTCTAGGTTCACTTGAAATGTTGCGTTCAAGTTCATCATCTCATATGAACAACTTGCAACTTGACAATGCATACGAATGTCGAACAATGAACAAAACCAGATAAATAATGAAAAATAAACAAAAACATTAACATTAAAGATAAATAGTCATCATTGAGCATTACCCTCGAATTTGCACATTTTCAATATTTTCTTTTAAGCTTTTCAGCGGAATTTGAAACGTACATCCTCATTGATCTGTTGCAACCACACATTGGGTTTTGAAACGGAGTAGAGTTTCTAACTGAGGAAGTAGACATGCTTCATTGTGCAGAAATGGATGGAAACCTGTAACAAGATGGATTTAAGCAGAGAAGAAGTTCATTTTGAAATATCATTTTCATTTTAGATTTAGTCCTCCTTTTTAAAACTACTATAGTATACTTGCCACGTCATAAAAGAATGTCAAAATAGGAAAATGAAAAAATAATTACACATCATCAACGTTAGCCACACCATCTTTTTTCCAATAGAAGTTTAACGTTAGAGACAATTCCAAAAAAAAATCAACAGTTAAAGACTCCAATAAAAAAAATTATATAAGGACTAGAATAAAAAAAGCGAACTTACGTGGACAAAAAAGACTATTTAAGCCTTTAATTTGCATTCTCCCTAAATAATTTATGTTTTGTAATATATTTTATTCCTTAATTTAATTATTAAATATTTTTATACATTTCATAAAATAATATGTATTTTAGTATAATAAAGTTGAAAATAATTCTTTTTTTCATTTCAATTTTTAGCTTTGATAATAATTTCAATTTTTAAAAAAATATAATTAACAAAGACTTTTACTTTAACTTTAAATTAATTATTAATATAAAATTATTATAACAAAAAAAATTTAATATGAATTATATATAAGGAAAGGGCGTCACTGAAAGATATTTACTTTTATTATGAAAATTTTATTCTACATAATATTATTTTACATCTTTAAGAATAAAATATTAACTGTTATCAATTAATTTTATAATTTGTATTCATATATAAACGCATATTGTTTAGATTTGATAGCCATGCCATTCAAACACATTTCAATCATGGCTTCCAATATTTCTCTCCTTTTGTTGTTCTCCTTTCTTACTACATTCCTTCATTTTATTATTTTCACATTTGCTCAATCTGATAATTACATTATTCACATGGATTTATCAGCTATGCCTAAAGCATTCTCAAATCAACATAGTTGGTATCATTCCATTCTTTCTCAAGTTACTACTACCAACAATTATCTCAATTCTTCTTCTTCTAAAATCCTTTATACATACACTAATGTTATGAATGGTTTTAGTGTTAATCTTTCACCTCAAGATCATGAATCTCTCCAAAACTCACCTGGTTACATTTCTTCAATGCCTGATATACCCTTGAAACTTCACACAACACACTCACCTCAATTCCTTGGCCTTAATCCTTACAAAGGAGCATGGCCAGCTTCTGAGTATGGCAAAGATGTAATTGTTGGTTTAATTGACACTGGTGTTTGGCCAGAAAGTGAAAGTTTCAAAGATGATGGAATGACTGAAATACCCTCAAAATGGAAAGGGAAATTATCTCAATTTGATAATTCCAACCATTCATCTTTGTGCAACAAGAAACTCATTGGAGCTAGATTCTTCAACAAAGGGTTCTTAGCAAAATATTCCAACCTTAGTACAACCACTGTGAACGACTCACGTGACACTGAAGGTCATGGAACCCATACTTCATCAACTGTAGCTGGAACCAAAGTTGATGGCGCATCTTTCTTTGGTTATGCAAATGGAACAGCAAGAGGAATAGCTTCAATGTCTAGAGTAGCCATGTACAAAACTACAGAGGGACATGGATTTGCGGCACCATCTGATATGATGGCAGCAATTGATGCTGCTATATCAGACGGTGTCGATGTTCTTTCAATATCAATGGGCATCGGAGAAGCACCCTTTTACGAAGATACTCTTGCAATAGCCACGTTTGCAGCCATTGAAAAAGGTATTTTTGTTTCTCTATCAGCGGGTAATGAAGGACCTTTGTTTCAATCTATTCAGAATGATGCACCTTGGGTGACAACCGTTGCTGCTGGTACTTTAGATTGTGAATTTCGCGGAATTCTCACACTTGGTAACGGAGTCTCACTCACTGGTTTGTCTTTGTATCCGGGAAATTTTACTGCTACCAATTCTCCAATTGTTTTTATGGGTTCGTGTGACAATATTACAAAATTAAACAAAGTGAAGAGCAATATTGTAGTTTGTGAAGAGAAGAATGAAACTCTCCTTTCTACTCAAATTTATAATATGGTTACAGCAAAAGTTGTTGCAGGTGTTTTCATATCAAATATCCCAGACATAAATGATTTTGACAATATAATTCCATCTATCATTATTAATCGAATAAATGGAAAAATCGTACACTCTTATATAAAGAGCCCTAACTCGAAAAGTTCTACAGCAAGCATCTCTTTCAAGACAACAGGTCTTGGTGTTAAACCATCGCCTATGGTTGATTCTTATAGTTCAAGAGGACGTCGAAGAGTTTCCCATATGTGTTGAAACCACTGCTCCCGGTAGCCAAATCTTAGGGTCTGTTTGGTTCAAATGAGGGGGAGGGGAGGGGAGGGATTTTAATGAAGGGGAGGGGAGGGGAGGGATTTTTTTAATCAAATAAGTGTTTGGTTCAAAAGAGAGGAGGGGAGGGGAGGGGAGGGATTTTAATAAAAAATGTGTTTGGTTCAGAAGGGGAGGGGAGGGGTTTTATTAATAATTTACATTTTTATCCTTATGATCTTATATAAGTCATATGATATTAAAATGTGAATAATTCGTGCGTATTTTTGTTGATAATAAAATTTCTAATATTGAGTGATTAAAAAAGTATTTATTTGTCACATAAAGTTAAAAAAATTGAGTACAATTGATTCAACTTATAACTTTTCAACATAAATTAAACTATATGCTAATAACATCGTTTAAATTGTGATGAATCATATAACAAAACAAATATATAAAATAACTTATTACTAAGTATTAATGGTTCAAAATATTTAATAAAATGAATAAACAAAAATAAATAAAATGATATGATTTACAATTTGATATAAAAAAAAATGATAGAGTACATAACAAAATTAAAAGAAAAAAACGAATATAACGAAACATAATTTTTTTATATAAAAAAGACAATGATTATGATTTATATTAATTATAAAAATTATTAAATAATTTGAAGGTGGAGAACAATTATAATAAGTTGATGAAAACAATCGAGAAAAAACAGTAACACAAAAGAAAACAAATAGTTTTGAAATACTGAAATTAAACTAAGGATATTTTAGTAAATATAATAATTTTTAAATATTAAAACTCATATTCCCTCCCCTCCCCTCCAAATCCCCCCAATTCGGAGGGAACCAAAAAGTGTGTTTTGGAGGGATTTTGCTCCCCTCCCCTCCCCTCCCCTCCCCTCCTAAAATTTGAACCAAACATATTTAATTAAAAATTTCCCCTCCCCTCCCCTCCCCTCCCCTCCATCTACCCCGAACCAAACACACCCTTAGCGTCATGGCCTACTAATCTCCCTGTGACTAATTTCGAGGATCATGATCTCTTCAACAAGTTTAATATTTTAAGTGGAACATCTATGGCATGTCCTCATGTTGCTGGTGTTGGAGCACTTTTAAAAGGAGCACATAATGATTGGAGTCCCGCGGCTATTCGGTCTGCAATTATGACAACCTCATACATTTTGGATAATACTAAAGAACACATCAAAGACATTGGAAATAATAAAGTTTCAACTCCATTAACCTTAGGAACTAACTCCGCACAAAAATCAATAATAAAAGGTTCCATCTAAAAAAGAAAGTTATAGTGTCAACTTACGGGAACAAAAAGACTATTTAAGTCTATAATTTATATTCTCTCTAAATAATTTATCTTTTGTAAATATTTTATTCCTTAACGTAATTATTAAATTTTTTTATACATTTTATAAATAATATTTATTTTAGTATAATAAATTTGAAAAGAATTCTTTATTTTGATAATAATTTCCTTTTTTAAAAAATATAATTAACAAAGACTTTTACCTTACCTTTAAAGTTATTATTTATAACTTTAGCTTTTAATAATTTTGAAGATAATAAAAATTAAGCCAAAATAATTACATCAATATATTTTTTCTTTGTATATTTAAAAATGATTTCAATAAATTTTCAAAATATTATAAGTTTTTTAAATTCGTTTTCTTCAAATTGAAAGACTAATTTTTACATCTTATAACGTAAACATTATTGAAGATTAAAGTATAGTAGAAATCTCAATTTTTTTCATAAAATAATATCTCAAAAATATTTTTTTTGAAAAATTATTTGAAATAACATCGTGATTTTGTCTTGAAATTTTGATATTTAAAAAACGTTTCAATAAAATAATAAAATATTTAAAATAAAATTTTAAAAATGACTATTCATACAAAAAAGTTTATTTGAAAGATTTATGAAAAAATTTCATTTATAATTTTTTCACATAAAAAATATATGTAATATTATAAAAATCATTTTTAAGAAAAACTGAAACAAACGAGCACAAAACTATAAGACTAATTTCTTTTGATAAGGAGATTTCATCCCATCATTTTTTTTCAAGTGGCTTTTATTTTTGTACTATTAATTATAATAACATGAATTATTGAGAATTAAAAAAAATATTATACCTTTTGACTGATATATATTTACTTTTAATATGAATTATATATAAGGAAAGGGAATGACTGAAATATATTTACTTTTATTATGAAAATTTTAGTCTAAATAATATTGTTTTACAACTTTAAGAATAAAATATTAATTATTATCTATTAATTTTATAATTTGTATTCATATATGTTGTTTTCATTTGGGATTTCGATCCATTCATATTTTATATATCATGTCATCTCTTATGTTTCTAATCTAACGGTTCAGAATTTATAATGAATAATTAAATAACAAAGACAAATTACTTATTTATTTCTCTCTCTTATTAAATGATATTTTTTATTTAATTATTTATTATAAATTCTAAACCGTTAGATTAGAAACATGAGAGATAACATGATATATAAAAAAGGAGAGGATCCAAATCCGTATTTTAGTATAATAAATTTGAAAAAAATTCTTTATTTTGATAATAATTTCCTTTTTAAAAAAATATAATTAACAAAGACTTTTACTTTACCTTTAAAGTTATTATTTATAACTTTAGCTTTTAAAAATTTTTAAGATAAAAAAAATTAAGCCAAAAAAATTACATCAATAGATTTTTTCTTTGTATTTTTAAAAATGATTTCAATAAAAATATTTTTCAAAATATTTTATAAGTTTTTTAAATTTATTTTCTTCAGATTGAAAGACTAATTTTTATATCTTATAACGTAAATATTATTGAAGATTAAAATATAGTTGAAATCTCAATTTAAAAAAAAAATAGTATCTTAAAAATATTTTTTTTTAAAATTATTCAAAATAACTTCGTGATTTTGTTTTGAAATTTTGATATTTAAAAAACGTTTCAATAAAATAATAAAATATTTAAAATAACATTTTAAAAGTAATATTCATAAAAAATATATGTAACATTATAAAAATCATTTTCTTTTGATAAGGAGATTTCATCCCATCATTTCTTTTTCTAGTGGCTTTTATTTTTGTACTATTAATTATAATAACAAATGAATTATTGAGAATTAAAAAAAAAATTATACCTTTTGACTGATATATATTTACTTTTAATATGAATTATATATAATGAAAGGGAATGACTGAAATATATTTACTTTTAATATGAAAACTTTATTCTAGATAATATTGTTTTACAACTTTAAGAATAAAATATTAATTATTATCTATTAATTTTATAATTTGTATTCATATATACAGGCATATTGTTTTGATTTGATAGCCATGCCACTTCAAACACATTTCAATAATGGCTTCCAATATTTATCTCCTTTTGTTGTTCTCCTTTCTTACAACATTCCTTCATTTTATTATTTTCACATTTTCCCAAGCTGATAATTACATCATTCACATGGATTTATCAGCTATGCCTAAAACATTCTCAAATCAACATACTTGGTATCATTCCATTCTTTCTCAAGTTACTACTACCAACAATTATCTCAATTCTTCTTCTTCTAAAATCCTTTATACATACACTAATGTTATGAATGGTTTTAGTGCTAATCTTTCACCTCAAGATCATGAATCTCTCCAAAACTCACCTGGTTACATTTCTTCAATGCCTGATATACCCTTGAAACTTCACACAACACACTCACCTCAATTCCTTGGCCTTAATCCATACAAAGGAGCATGGCCAGCTTCTGAGTTTGGTAAAGATGTCATTGTTGGTGTAATTGACACTGGTGTTTGGCCAGAAAGTGAAAGTTTCAAAGATGATGGAATGACTGAAATACCCTCTAAATGGAAAGGGAAATTATGTCAATTTGATAATTCCGACCATTCATCTCTCTGCAACAAGAAACTCATTGGAGCTAGATTCTTCAACAAAGGGTCCTTAGCAAAATATTCCAACCTTAGTACAACCATTGTGAACGACTCACGTGACACTGAAGGTCATGGAACCCATACTTCATCAACGGTAGCTGGAACCAAAGTTGATGGCGCATCTTTCTTTGGTTATGCAAATGGAACAGCAAGAGGAATAGCTTCAATGGCTAGAGTAGCCATGTACAAAACTACAGGGTCAGATGGATTAGCGGCACCATCTGATATAATGGCAGCAATTGATGCTGCTATATCGGACGGTGTCGATGTTCTTTCAATATCAATGGGCGCCGAAGAAGCGCCTTTTTACGAAGATACTCTTGCAATAGCCACATTTGCAGCCATTGAAAAAGGTATTTTTGTTTCCATATCAGCTGGTAATCAAGGACCTTTCTTTCATACTCTTCAGAATGGTGTACCTTGGGTGACAACTGTTGCTGCTGGTACGTTGGATCGTGAATTTCGCGGAATTCTAACACTTGGTAATGGAGTTTCACTCACTGGTTTGTCTTTGTATCCGGGAAATTTTACTGCTTCCAATTCTTCAATTGTTTTTATGGGTTCGTGTGACAATATTACAGAATTAAACAAAGTGAAGAGCAATATTGTAGTTTGTGAAGAGAAGAATGGAACTGTTCTTTCTATTCAAATTTATAATATGGTTACAGCAAAAGTTGTTGCAGGTGTTTTTATATCAAATATCCCAAACATAAATGATTTTGACAATAGAATTCCATCTATCATTATTAATCCAATAAATGGAAAAATCGTACAATCTTACATAAAGAGCCATAACTCGAAAAGTTCTACAGCAAGCATCTCTTTCAAGACAACCGGTCTTGGTGTTAAACCATCGCCTATGGTTGATTCTTATAGTTCAAGAGGGCCGTCGAAGAGTTGTCCATATGTGTTGAAACCTGACATCACCGCTCCTGGTAGTCAAATCTTAGCGTCATGGCCTATAAATCTCCCTGTGGCTAATTTTGAGAATCGAGATCTCTTCAA